GGGGAACTGTGAGGGGGTGAAAGGATTAAAGCCCTGGCTTCTGCATTCAAATGTTAATGAAGTTAATGAGAGAAACGCAATCCTCAAATTTCAGTCCTAAGTCTTTCTATAAGTACAGATCACTGTGAAGGTGCTCAGAAAAACCTGGAATCAGCCATCTTGCCTGCTGCAACAAAACATATAAAAAGGTAAGAAATATTTTTTAGAAAAGTATTTTTTTGGTATGCTGTATGAATAGGAACACCCAACAAATACATATAGGGGTTTTCTCAAATTTGACTGCAAAGGTGGAAATACACTTGAAGGGTCCCATCATTTATTAGCAATGCTATTTTTATTTGATTTCCTATTTAAAAAATCCTGTTGAAACAAAAATCATAAGCAAAGTCTGATTTTCAATTAATATAAAACAAACAATGATGGGTGTCAATTAAATTAGTCAGGCTCAAGTCATTTCAGAGAAGATTGTGGGTTTTTCTTTTTTCATGGAAAGGTAGAAACAAATTTGTCCACCTCTGTATCTTGTCGAAATCAGTTGCTGATCAAAGTATCGGTGATCAATCTAAATTTGTCTAGATCGCTTGGCAGTCACTTCTACAATCTACTACAGCAAATGCTGCATATTTGGCTTGTAGTAGCCTGTGAATTCTTTCAGCTGCTAGTTATATTTGCATGACCAATCTTTAAATACGTGTAAAATATACTGTAAGACATGTTTTTCTATTTGTTGAGATAAGCTTTATTTATTATTCAGTGATATTCCACAGCAAACCCAGCAACCAGAATAATTAGTTGTTGCCATATCAGTCAATCTACTCTTTCTGGGAAGATGTAGTAAGGAATTTATATGAATTCCAGCACCCCAAGGATGTTTTTTGTCCTATTTTCAAAGACTCAATAATGACTGGTAGGATGACCCAGTGATTGGCGGAGGGCCACGGTAGTTCCAATATTCAAAAAGGGGGCTAGGTGCCAACCTGGGAACTATAGGCCGGTCAGTCTAACATCGGTAGTTTGTAAAATGCTAGAGGGCATAATAAAGGATTATCTGGTAGAATTTATTCAGGATAACGGCCTAGTTAATGACAATCAGCATGGGTTCAGGAAAGACCGTTCCTGTCTGACTAACCTGCTAACTTTTTACGAGGGGGTAAGTAGAGATATGGAGGGAGGGAGGCCGGTAGATGTTGTATATCTGGATTTCTCAAAAGGCATTTGATACGGTACCACATAAACGATTACTACACAAGCTGAGATCTATGGGCATAGATGAGGCGGTGTGTACGTGGATGGAGAGCTGGCTACGGGAACGGGTCCAGAGAGTATCTATAAATGGCACCTTTTCAGACTGGGCTAGTGTAATGAGCGGTGTGCCTCAGGGTTCTGTGCTGGGACTCATATTGTTTAACCTGTTTATTAATGATATTGGGGAGGGTGTGAATAGCCATATTTCAGTGTTTGCAGACGATACAAAAATAGAGAGGGTACTAGAAACGGACCTAGACAGTTTAGCATTACAGGAGGACCTGGATAAAATAGGGGAGGGGGCGAATATATGGCAGATGAGGTTTAATGTCGATAAATGCAAAGTAATGCACTTTGGAATTAAAAACAAGCAAATGGGTTATGCAATTATGGGTATGCCGCTAGGGAAGTCAGAAATAGAAAAAGACTTGGGGTCATTGTAGACCACAAACTAAAGGGTAGTTTGCAGTGCCAGGCTGCTGTAAACAAAGCTAGCAGGGTCTTGTCCTGTATTAAGAAGGGGATGTACTACAGAGACAAGTCTATAATTTTGCCACTTTATAGAGCATTGGTTCGGCCTCATTTGGAGTACGCGGTCCAGTTTTGGTCACCAGTATTAAGAAAAGATGTCCCTGAGCTGGAGAGGGTCCAGCAGAGGGCAACTAAACTAATTAGGGGAATGGAGGACCAGAGCTATGAGACGAGGCTACTAAATTTAAACATGTTCACGTTGGAAGTAAGGAGATCAAGGGGGGATATGATTTTCATGTACAAGATGTTCAATGGCGACAGCAACATTGGCAACAAACTCTTTAAGATTAACTCTGTTACAAAAACTAGAGGCCACCACCTAAAATTGGTGGAAAACAAATTCCAGCACAAGGGGCGAAGGGGGTTCTTCACAGAGCGGTTAGGGTCTGGAACTCACTGCCATCGGCAGTGATTTCAGCCAGGAGTGTGGAATTGTTCAAAAAACTCTTGGATGATTTCCTGACGGACCGTAATATACATGGGTACAATTACTCCTAAGAAAGAGATGATGCACAGACCTATATGGGTTGGACTTGATGGACTTATGTCTTTATTCAACCCCAAATACTATGTAACTATTAGTGCTGTAGATCTTATGCTTACTAAATGCACAGCTAGATTGGCGATACCTGGCATTACTTGTTCCCTTACAAATTTGAATCTTCTTTCCGTGGCCACTAAATGGTGCTGTACACTTTATACCTGCAAGGATTTTAATGACAAAGTCTGTTTAAAGCCCAACTGTAGGGTGCATTTCACCCAACACCAACCCAACAAAACCCTTTTTGCAGTCATATGACACTGCAGCCCTGAGTATTCACCTCTTCTGATTACTTCTTGTTTGGGCCCATCTTTGAGTGTCCATGTCACCGACTGCATGACGTGGACACTTCCTATCCAGAAATGGACCAACGTCATCAGAGGTAAGAGAAGGGGAGCCAGGTGCCATCGCATTGGCGGATTCATGGCCCCCCCCCACCCAGAAACAGCTATGGTAAGGGACCTAGAGGGCATACGTAGGTGACTATTTCTGACTTTACAAGGTAAGGGGAAACAAAAGCCTAACAGAATAGGTTAGAGACGAGTGAGAGGGTGGGGAGTTGTGGAGTGCAAACAAATAAAAGTAGAATTAAACCTTCCTTTTTTTGTTGCATATATCTACTGGTAGCAAGCAGTAGATATATGCAAAAACATAAAAAAAAGTTTGCACCCGTCCGAAGACCTGAAAAACTCTTGAGGGGCCGTGAAGGATCATGGGGCGGGCGCATGCACAGTACAGATCTCCGGCCGGGAGAAGCGGAGAGACACAGGGTAATTCAATGCAGGCAGCCTGGCAGAGTGGGGTGCACGCAGTCTCCTGACTCCTGAAAACTACTGGAAAGAAGAAGATGATTGGATCAAGAGGCATCATGTGACATAATGTCACTCTAATTTTTGAGTTGGGTCTTAAGGACACCTCAGCCTGATGCTTCTGCCACATTATAAAAACAATGAATTAGGTGCAGATATACTGTAATAGGGGCTATTTTGGGGTTGTTTGTCCTGCCCTGGAATGATTTGATGTGTTCAAACAGAAAGGGAGAGGTTTTATTTCTATATGAAAAAAACAGCTGTTATTAAATACCACCAAAAGAAGGCTCAGTCTAAAAAATGATATTAACTTATTTGGAGTAGAGTGTTGGATCACTATCACATCACTGAAACTGAAAAATGATCTGGAAAGGAAGCGAGTGTAACATGCTGGTATTGAGGTGGTCACAGTGTCATTAAACCCAGAAATAATATCTTCATGTGTTTTCTTCTGTGTACCTTAGAATAGCAACATCAGATAGTACATACAGAAATATAAATGTAAAAACTGCCGTTATCAAGGTGACTATGCTGGCTCCGCTGCATGTGCGATGTAGCCACTCTCCCGAGATGGATTACAAATACACATAATGCACATAAAAGCACTGCAAACCTCCAATTTATTATTGCACTGCTACAAAGGCTTCTTGTGTGACAGCTGGGCCAGCACAGCAAATAAATGGTAACAGGCACACCTGTACCTTGGTTGATGCAAGAGCAATGAATCATGGGAGTTGTAGTATCTGTAAAGCAGTGCAGGTGGGCTGCTTGTGCCACAAAACCAGAATTTTGAAGGAAATCTCTTCTGTTGCCAGTGCAGCGAAGGAAGAATCATTCCGCTGAAAAAAGGTAAACAAGAGATTTTGCATTATTTACAACACTGGATTGGAAAGTTGGTTTTAAAGGCAAAGTTTAGCTTTCTGGCCAAGTTTCATGTATGTTACACCCATATTTCAGGCCACCCACTTAACAGAATCATGAGGTGCTTCTCCACCCAGACTGTTGTAATTTCTACATTTTGTGCGGCCGTGCAAGGATCTGCCTACACGGCCACATCATTTATTCACTGATTCTATGACTGGATCTGAGTGGAGAAACTACAGGTCCCATCAGACAGAATGGCTGGGGGGCTTGCAGTTCTCAATGGAATACAAATGCAGTGACCTGCCCTCCTTCCGATACTGAATGTCTGCACCTTGGACCTTGATGGGGGAGAGTCTGCAGGAGCCAGAGTATGACACCCATGATCCAGATTGTGATTGCAATGCTTTACTGGCTCCAATGCAAATAAATAATAATAAATGCACACTTTTTCTTTTATGAAAAAGCCTGCAAATATATTGTTTTTCTAAAAGGCGGAATTTCCATTTAACTTGAGGGTTTAGTGATACCTTAATTTGATGCAGAAAGTGATAGGGAGGAAGAATGTTTTTATTAAACAAATATTATATTGATTATTATAATATATTTATCAACAACATTACACTAGCTTGATAAATCTGGTGCAAATGTATTCCGTGCAAGTTCAAACACTCGCAATTGCTATGATAAATTCCCCCCAACATGTCTAATGAAAACTACATTTATTATCAGGGCTTAGACTGTATTGATAAATAAAGTGCAAATAACGTGGGAAATTTGTCACTTAAAGAAAAGTGGAGCAACTCCCTTGATAAATTCCCCCCATTGTCACTGAACACTGCAATTGCTCTCTAGTCTCCCCATCCCCAGTCTTGAGATGCCATTGACGTCATCAATGTTTGGCTGAGGTTGGTTCGTATCATGTGACAATCCCGGCGGCCTCGCTTTCGGGTGCACAAGCGCTGTATCAGCCGTTTCAGCCTTGGGGAAGCGCACGGGAGCGAGCACGCAGGCGGGTATGTTTTTGCGTGCTCTGTTCATGCTTGAAGTCTCGCGGTACATTCTGCTAGTGTAATCCTGGGCCGCGGCCGTGTTCTGAACGGAGCTCTGGTGTGAGGGGGATACCGCGGGGGTACACAGGTGAGCATACAGGCTTTGTTGACGAACCTCCATAAATGGGGGTATCTCTCTTCTTTGCATGTTTTCGTTCCTGGTATGACCGTCGCCATCTTACGCTCAGGGCTTTTCCCGCCGTGTACGGGCCTAGGGCGCTTCGGGAAGCCTGGACTGGGGGTATAAGCGAGGTGGTTATGTGTCTCGGTGGTCGTCTTCATTCCCAGGAAGATGCAGAAAAATGTACCTGTTTTTGCCAGTTCTGTAGGGTTTTTGTTTTCTACATGTTAGCTTTGCTTCGTTCCACCTATGATTTTTTTCAGACTCGCCATACACAGTACAATCAACTTTCGATCTACTCAAACTATGTAATATGAGGGTCTCCTTAATCTAGCCAACCCATTTCTATCCAGTCTGTGTTGGTAGATCTAAGGCCTCCATACAGATGGGTAAATGTGTGGGTAGTTTGCTGTGTTCAGAGACAGCTAGATGCAGCTGTACGCTTTGCTTTGGGCCCCATACAATCTTGATTATCTGCGGCCACATTTTGTGCGGCTATGTCACTGACCTGGGGGGGGGGGGGTTTGGCAAAACCGGAACAGTATTTTTTTTTACCTACTACAGATTAGTAGGAAAAAAGACAAATTTACGTACCCATACACAGAGCATTTCTATTAGACTCTTCAGGGGGAATTGAGCAAAACAGGAGCAGTTGCCCATGGCAACCAGTCAGCATCTCTTCAGTTTGCTCAGTTGAGATTTGAAAATGAGAGTGAGAAGCTGGTTGCCATGCACAGCTGCTCCAGGATTGATTCCCCTCCCCAATGTCTGGGGTTGTTCAGGGGCTCTGTATGCATGGATGAGCATGTGAGCTACCAGCTAGTGCCAGACTAATAGCTGTTCAGGTGCACCTTATGCATGTCTGATATAGCGGTCGGTTGGGCCGGGGCCCTCCGACTGCTCTGGCCACCGATTTCCTCTGCATTCGCCTGTGGGGGGATGACGACAGTGCCCCCCCGCGTGAATGTACCCTAAAGGACATTGTGCAATCTGATTGTAGTGTATGTGTGGGGCAAGCTTTAAAGAACTCCATTAATTTTGTTTTTTAAATTAACCCTTGCTTAAGGGCTACCCCTGCACTACAAGGGTTTCTAAACCCTCGGCTTTTTTTGAATAGATCTGCTAGCAAGCAGTAGATCTATGCAAAAAGTTTTTTAGTTTTTTTTTTTTGTTTAAACCCGCTTTAACAAAGGTTAAAACCTACCTGTATCTTCCCTGCGCGCTCCCGTCCGAAAATGTGAAACTGCTCGGGCGGCCGCAAAGTATCTTGGGGCATGCGCAGGTAACACTTTCGGCCGAGATGCGAGGAGATACACAAGGTAAGTCTATGGACGCGTGCACCCGCATGCAGACACCGTGGGAGAGGAAGTGCCGCAGCGCTGGGGAGAAGGCTGAAAACTACAGGAAAGAAGGTGATTGGATTAAGAGACATCATTTAAGGTAAGTGCTTTTATTAACATTGTGTTGAGGCAAAAACATTTTTGCCTTTAACCACTTCAAGACAAGGTGTTTAGACCCCCATCCTGGCAAGGCCATTTCTCAGTATTCAGCGCTGCGATACTTTGACTGACGTTTATTCCGTCATGCAACGCTGTACTGAAATAAATTTTATACCATTTTTTGGGGGACAGATAGAGCTTTCTACATTTTTTCTTTAATTCTTTTTTATGTGTAACTTAAGGGGGCGTGTCTGAGCGGACGTCTAGAGACGCCTGCTCAGATCGAGAGAGCTCCTGGCCGGCCGTTTTTTTACTACGGCCGGCCCGGAGGTAGTTAATGTCACTTTAAGTGCTGTTTTGTCTCCCCATCCCCAGTCTTGAGATGCCATTGACTTCATCAATGTTTTGGCTGAGGTTGGTTCGTATCATGTGACAATCCCGGCGGCCTCGCTTTCGAGTGCACATGCGCTGTATGCTTGTTTTTGTCTAGATTCAAAAATAAGTTATACTCACCCGAAGCTCCAAGCTGGCCAGCTTCCACAGTTCTTCCTCTTCCCTGCTCCAGCAATGGGATGTTCCTCAGTGTCTTCACATCTATACACTGATGGGAATTTATCAAGACTGGAGCAGACAAAATCTGGAGCAGCTGTGCATGGCAACCAATCAGCTTCTCTCTTGAATTTTCAAATCTTAACTGAACAAATGAAAGAGAGAAGCTGATTGGTTGCCATGGGCAACTGCTCCAGATTTTGTCTGCTCCAGTTTTGATAAATTCCCCTCATTGTGTATAGAATGTGATGATTTTATGGGACCATAAACAGAGAAGAGGAGAGGCTCTAAGGACCAGTCTAGGAACAAACAGACTCTGCGGTTCAAGTGAGTAACTTTAAAAAAAGCGAGCAGATAACCCTTGCAGTGTGGGGGTAGCCCAACTGCAGGGGTTAATAAAACATTTTCAATATTAATTACAGTGCTTTGATAAACAAAAAGCATCCATACTTCCATTTTCTAGTACTATCTCTTTGGTCTGTTGTTTTCTGTGATGATCTAGAGCAGTATAGAGGGGACAAAGTGTACATATACTTGTACACCTCCTCTGCCACTAAATGCCCCTGAAACAAAAAAAAAAAGTGCTCCAAAATGAGAATTCGGAAAACATCCGGACTTTTGAGGTATCATGAAGATTAAGCTACAATAGCTAATAATGGATCAAAATTATTTTATTGAATACAAATGTAAAATACATGAAAAGGAGGTAAAGAAGCTTGTTTGAACATTTTGTAGCCCCATCTTCCCATCGTGCTTCACATATATTGTACAGTCTCGTGCACGGTATCTTTCAATATGTGAATAAGCACTATGGGGATGTGTTTTTTATATTTGTATTCAATAATTTTGATCCATTATTAGCTTATTGTAGCTTGATCCTTGTGGTACCTCTAAAGTCCGGATGTTTTCTGAGTTTTCCTTTTTGAGCATTTTTTTTTTTCATAATATTTGAATGTGTTACCTTGATGTATGCACACCCTTGAATTACTATACAAATTTGGACTAAATACCCCTAGCAATTGCATCCAATTTGTTGTCCGCTATGGTATATAAATATATTCAGACCGATAGTGAAACGACTAGGTCTGTGGGAAGTCCTGATGAAATGTGCATACAATGGGTTGGCAGTTTCCTATTTTGCATTGGATTCAATGTCCACCTGGGCTGTAAATAAACAGTGTAGGTGATATGTGCAGATTGCCAGGTTACTAGGCTGGTTTGGTAGGTTTTGAAAGCCTCTCGCACTTTTTATTTTGTTTTTTTTAGGGTCCATTCACACCAACAGTTGGTGTGTGGTGCCTAGCACAATGAACCATTTACCTTTTTTGTTCTTTTTTTTTTTTTAGAATGTAATTGATAAGCCACAAGTGATATTTCATCAAGTTCTATGGGCACAGTGTGGGGTGAGGTGGTTGTGCCACATCGCATCCTACTGTACCGCCGAAAAGTACTGCATGCCATATTTTTTTCAGCACACACAAATACAACGTGGTGGTGTGACCTGTGCCCATCGGTGACGAGGCAAATTACCTTGTCTTGCATTGGGGCTGCACTGGAAAAAATGGCCAGTGCACCCCCAACACATCTGGTGGTTATGGGCCCTTAGGGCACAATCACACCATATCCAGTGCGTTCCGGCACGGTCTGAGCCTGGAACGCACTGTATTGCATAATCAGGCCAGGCCACGATCTGGGGCAGGAGTGGGTGTGGCGGTGCCATTCATGTCATTGGCACCGCAGGCATGCCTGCAGTGCGATCACCCGCACTGGAACGTAAGGTACAGGAATGCCCTCCATTCTGGTGCCGTGCGATTGGAAAAAATGCTGCATGCACTATTTTTTTTTCTGATTGCACTGCATTGGAAACGAGGGCATTCCTGTACCTCACGTTCCGTGGCAGGTGATCGCACTGTGGGCGGCGGATGTACCTGTGGTACCATTGACAATAATGGCCGACACGCCCCAGAACGCGACCTGGCCTATGCGATCCAGTGCGTTATGCCGCCATGCACTAGATGTGGTGTGGCTTCCTATTTATACACTCACTATATCTATGATGCTTTTTTTTTCTTGCATTAAAGCAACACACAGGCAGCGATGAAACATACAAGTGAAGTCATGGCTAGCTGATTTTCTTTCCTATCTCCATGGGTAAAGTCGTGCCACATGCCATTTGTCCCATCTCTCCACCACTCCCAATCAATTACACATCCAATCATGCTTTGGGATGTTAGTTCCTGTGTTGGTGTTAAAGAGAGAACTTTACTGAAATACGTTCCACATTTCACACTTCTGGGAGTGTCATAGGGTGTTGGTGTCCCATGCTGAGCTCTGTGGTTCTTCTACTGACCTACATCATTGCTGGACACAGGGTACAACAAAATGGACTATTGAGCCCAGCGGAGGACCAGGAATCCATTGCACCCGCATGTGTTCTAGATTGAAAATAAATGTTTTAGTTGCATTCATGTGTTAAAGCTTTTATACAATAATTTTAGAGTTTGAGTTTAGTTCTTCTTTAAGGAAACCAATAGGGCTGACATGGCTCTTCATTTTAAGCATGTGCCATTTTATACTTCTGAATAAGAACATTGTTAAATGGGGATTAAGCAACATGCTGTCACGAGCCAGCAGGTTGAACTGTTTTTAATCCTGTTTGCTTCATGCGATGCTTTTAAAGGAGTTATTGGGAGAGTGAAATACACTCTCATCCTGATAGTTAGAGCCAATGTGTGACACTGGAACTGTCCCATCAGCTCTGTTGATCAAGAACTGAGCAATCACATACCAATGATCACTCAGTTCCCAATCTTCTTCAGCACTGACTGGAGGCAGGGGGTGGGCACCTCTGTCTCTGCCTCTAGAGTGCTGTCAATCAGGTGGCAGGGTGGATCCTGACAATATTGTCGGGATCTTTCCTGGTTGTGATGCTATATGCTGAGTTTTGGGTCACAGGAGGACATTAGTAAATGTCCTCCT